TGAAATTTACATTCGTGAGATTGTCCGCCTTTACGGTGTGCCCGTGTCTATTATTTCAGATCGAGGTACGCAGTTTACCTCACATTTCTGGAGGGCTGTATAGCGTGAGTTAGGCACGCGGGTGGAGTTGAGTACAACATATCATCCACAGACAAACGGACAGTCAGAGCGCACTATTCAAATATTGGAAGATATGCTTCGCGCTTGTGTTATAGACTTTGGAGGTTCTTGGGATACTTTCTTGCTACTTGCGGAGTTTGCTTATAATAATAGCTACCAGTCGAGCATTCAGATGGCTCTATATGAGGCATTATACGGAAGGCGATGCCGTTCGCCACTTGGTTGGTTTGAATTGGGAGAGGCTCGGTTATTGGGTACCGATTTGGTACAGGATGCCTTGGATAAGGTCAAGATTATTCAGGATCGACTTCGCACAACTCAGTCTAGGCAAAAGAGTTATGTAGACCGTAAAGTTCATGATATTGCATTCATGGTTGGAGAAAGAATATTACTCCGGGTTTCACCTATGAAAGGTGTAATGAGGTTCGGAAGGAAGGGAAAGTTAAGCCCTGGGTATATCGGACCCTTTGAAATTCTTGAAAGGGTGGGTGAGGTAGCCTACAGGCTTGCATTACCACCTAGTTTATCAGCGGTTCATCCGGTGTTCTATGTGTCTATGCTCCAAAAATATCACGGTGATCCGTCCCATGTGTTAGATTTCAGCTCAGTCCTATTGGACAAAGATTTGACTTACGAGGAGGAGCCGGTGGCTATTCTATCCCGACAGGTCCGGCAGTTGAGGTCTAAGAGTTATTCTTCAGTTCGAGTGCAATGCAGAGGTAAGCCGGTAGAGGCATCTACCTGGGAGTCCGAGTCGGAAATGCTGAGTAAATATCCACACCTTTTCTCCAGCTCAGGTACTTTTTCTAACTCTGTTGGAGGACGAACATTTGTTTTAGAGGTGGAGAATGTGATGACCCAAAATGTCATCTTTAAATTTAATAAGTAATTCTATGTTATAAGACCTCAAAATCACTATTTATCATTCCTCGACTTGCGTGCGCAGTCCGTAAAATTTTCTGAAAAGTTTTTATGTGAAAAATGGATTAAAATATGAAATAGAGCCTTAAACCTCAAGTGAGTTGACTTTGGTAAATATTTTGAGAAAACGTGCCCGGATCAGCATTTTGATAGTTCTGGTAGCTCCGTATCGTGATTTGGGACTTTGGCGTATGCCCGGAATTTAATTTGGAGGTCCCTAGCTCAAGTTATGACCATTTAACGGAAACTAGTAATTTAAAGGCTAAAGATTTCCAAGTTTAACCAAGGGGTTGACTTTTTGATATCGGAACCGGAATTCAATTCTGGAAATTTGAATAGCTCCATTATATTATTTATGACTTGTGTGTCAAATTTGAAATCATTCTGGGTTCATTTAATATGTTTTGGCACGAGATTTGTAAATTGAAAAGTTTAAAACTCAAACTTCGAATCGGGGTATGAATTGTAATTTTAGCGTTGTTTGACGTGATATTAGACCCTGAGTAAGTCTGTATTATATTACGGGACTTTTTGGTATAATTTGTAGAGGTCCCGGGGGGATCAGGTGGATTCCGGATGGTTAACGGATCAAAATTTGGACTTAAGGAAAAATTTGAAATTTTGACCTTCTGGTGTAATCGCACCTGCGGTCCATTTTCCGCAGAAGCGGAATCGCACACGCGGTCAATTTTTCGCAGAAGCAGAAATCGCACCCGCGGTAAATTTTCTGCAGAAGCGGAATCGCAGATGCCGTAAAATTTCCGCAGAAGCGGAAATGCTGGACAGAACATATAAAATCAGGTTTTAGCCATTTTTACTCATTTTTGAGTTTTGAGTCTCGAATTTTGGCGATTCCAAAGCGATTTTTCACGACTTTGAATTGGGTAAGTGTTCTATAACCAAAAGTGATTATATTTCATAAATCCATGTCTATATTCATCATTTATTTCGGATTTGGATGGAAGAAATTGGAAATTTTGTAAAATCTTCCAAAACGAAAATTTAAGATTTGAAGGTCCATTTGACATCGGAATTGGATAATTTTTGTATGGTTAAACTCGTAGCGGAACGGGTATTCGGATTCCATGAGTTTTTTCGGGATTTGAGATGTGGGTCCCACTGTCAAATATTTTAATAAATTTCGAATTTTTATCCGGAAAATTAGTAAATTCATATGGAATTAATTCCTATGATTCGTATTGAATATATCGAATTGTTTGTGAATAGATTTGAAGCTTTTGGAGACAAATTTAAAAGGAAAAGTTATGGTTGAGTAATTGATTGGAATTTGCAAAGCGAGGTAAGTGTCGTGGTTAACCTTGACTAGAGGGAATAGAACCCCTAAACTATTTGTTATGTGAAATGCATGTGAACGATGTATAGGCGAGGTGACAAGTGTCTATATGTGATCAAATTAATTATTTGCATAATTACTTGAAAAATCATAAATCATTTTAAATCATGAATTAATTATTATTATAATTATTTCTCTCCTATTCTTTATCAAATATTAATTCTTGAATTCCTGCATTAATTGTTACATGCTATTTGAATTATGTGTCTTAATTGTTATTTGACATTTAGCATACTAAAATATTAAACTGCCTATTTTCTCCCTGATTTCTATAATAATTTGCTATTTGTCATTGTTTGTTTCATAATTAAATCATAATTATTGTATGTTTGTTGTCTTATAATTTTATATTAATTGTTACATTTATTGAGGAAATTTATTCTATAAAAATTGGTAAATGAATATGTTGGAGGAGCGGGTTGCACGCCGCAATAGAATTGATTAAAATGAATATATTGGAGGAGCGGGTTGCACGCCGTAATAAAATTGAATATGATTATATTGTGAGAGCGGGTTGCACGCCGTAATAAAATTGAATATGATTATATTGTGAGAGCGGGTTGCACGCTACAACAGAAATTGATGGAAGTGATAATGGGTTATGACTGCCGAGTTAGCTTTAATTATTATAAATGAGTTACCTGATTTATTTATATTATTTGTTATTGTTACTAATATTGCGTGCAGGTTAATGTAAGTGACCCATCTTAGCCTCGTCACTACTTCGTCGAGGTTAGGCTCAGCACTTACCAGTACATGGGGTCGGTTGTATTGATACTACACTCTGCACTTCTTGTGCAGATTTCGGAGTTGGTCACAGCGGCGTACCATAGACTTGCTCGGATTTCGCTACCAGAAGAGACTTGAGGTATAACTGCACGGCGTCCGCATTTCTGAAGTCCCCGTCTATTTTACTTTAGCTGTATGTTTATTTCTAGACAGCTTTATTTATTTAGACCTTTATTTGTATTATTCTAGAATCTCGTGCACCTGTGACACCAATTCTGAGATGGTATTTAAACACCGTTGTTTTTATAGATTATTCACTATATTTCAGACCTTACTTCCGCATTTGTTTCTTTGTTATTAATAAATTTAAAAATTGTTTTAAAAATGGATAATATTTTTCTAACATTGGCTTGCCTAGCAAGTGAAATATTAGGCGTCATCACGGTCCGAAGGTGGAAATTTCGGATCGTGACAATTTGTGAGTTAGAGTGCACTACAGATATAATCCTTGAGATGCGATGGAGTTGTGTGTGGTCTGGTAGATTTACTAATAAGACCATCCATTATAGGATCAGAATCTAAAGAAGGAAAGACTGGTGCAGATGTATGTGGATGACCAGATGATACTGGAGAATCTGGAGAGAACCTAGAAGAAGAGATAGAGGTAATAGGTGTGCTAGGATGAATTGAAGAAATGAGAGAAGAACATAAATCAAGTAATGATTCAATGGGCCTTTGGGAAGCTTCAGTGTCAGATCTGCTAGAAAAAGGTGTATTTTCAAGAGTCTGGTTACTTAGAGTAGCTTTAGCAATGGGTAAAGAAATAGCATAAGAAGAATTAGACTTAATAGAAGCAAATGGAAAGAATTCTTCATGAAATACAACATCTTTAGAAATGAAAGGTTTCAAATTCTTGAGGTTTAACACTTTGTAACCCTTTTTTCCACGAGGATAACCTAAGAACACACAAGGTGTAGCCCTTGGTTCAAACTTAGTTCTACGATTTGAGAGAGTAGAAGCAAAACATAAACATCCAAAGCATCTAAGGTTTGAGTAATTTGGTTTGCTAGTAAAAAGAACTTCATATGGAGTCTTAAGCTTTAAGACAATTGTTGGAAATCTGTTGATCAAATAGGTTGTTGTAAGAAGGCAAACACCCCAGTATGATATAGGTATATGTGATTGGTATAACAAGGCTCTGGATGTCTCTAAAAGATGCTTGTTCTTTCTCTCCACAACTCCATTTTGTTGTGGTGTGTACACACAAGTGGTTTGATGAATAATACCTTGTGACTGAAAAAAATCTGATTGAATGTTTCTATTTCCTAATTCAAAAGCATTGTCTGACCTTATAGTCTTTACCTTGATGTCAAACTGCCTTTCTACCATAGCTAGAAAGGTTTTCAGAATAGTGAATGCATTGGATTTGCTGGTTAATAGGTAGGTCCATGTGCCCCTACTGAAATCATCAACAATTGTGAGAAAATAATTAAATCCATCATATGTAGCATTATTGTATGGTCTCCAGGTATCCACATGAATTAATTCAAACACTTTCTTGGTAGAAATAGAACTAGAAGGAAAAGGAAGTTTGGACTGCATTGCCATAGGACAAATAACACATGGAGTGGAGAATTTGGAACACTTGGATATAGAAATTGATGAAACATTGTTCATATTGCTAAGGGGCATATGACCTAATCTGTAGTGCCACGACTTTTCCTTTACAATTGAATCAGAAAAACTAAAACATGAATGTAAACTATGATTGGAAATAGAATTCCTTCTTGGAATGAAAACTCTTCTAAACTTAGGTGAACTCTTAGACACTGCTGCTCTACGTCTGAATCTGAGAATGTAGAGGCCTCATTTCTCTTTACCAATCTCCAGTAGACTCTTCATTGAAGGGCCCTGTAGAAGAAAACAAGAAAAGGGAGTGAATAAAACATATTGCTTGAGTTGTTCGCACAACTTGTGCACAAACAACAGATTTAAAAGATGGAATATAAAGAACATTCTGCAGAAACAGATTAGGCAAAAGGCGCACAGTTCCTGAATGAGTGACTTTAACTCTGTAAGAGTTAGGGAGTTTGACCATGAGAGGTTTTGGCAAGGTTTTTAAATTTGTGAAAAATTCTTTGTTGAAAGACATATGTTTTGTTGCTCCACTATCTAATATCCAAGAATCATTACTGATTTGATTCAAATAGGTAATATCTTCAGAGAAATTGGTCATACCAGCACAGATCACTTTTGCTGCAGCATTAGAGGTTCCTGCACTGTTTTGTCCCATTTTCATTTGCTGAAGAAGCTGCAGCAGCTCAGCCACATTTTCCTTGGTGAGATTTTGAACTCCTATAGTATTTTCTGCTCCATGTTCACTATCCTCATTTGAGAGGAAAGCATTGTTTGCCTCGGTACCTACCTGAAACCTTTTCTGCCTTGTGAACTTGAAGTCAGCTAGAAACCCATGAATCCTATAGCACTTGTTTATGCTATGTCCATGCTTTTTGCAATAGGAACAAATTCCTGCATTTTTCTTAAATTCAAAACTTGTTTTCTGCATCCTGTTTTCATTAAACTTCCTGAAGTTTCCTGATTGGTTTGTAGCAATGAATGAGGCAGATTCCCCTGGGTATGCAGGGGTAGCATGTATCTCCCTCTATTTCTTATCTTGAATCACAATGGAGTATGCATGTCCAATGTAAGGCAAAGGTGATGCTAATAAAATGTAGCTCCTTACCCCAATAAATATGTCATTCAGTCCTATTAGGAACTGTAGTAGTCTCTCATCTTGATGTGCCTTCAAGCTCTTCACTTTTGCCCAACACTCACACTCACAAACACAAACAGAAAAAGTGTTGAGTGCATCTAGTTCATCCCATAGGCTCTTCATTTTGGTGAAGTAAGTTGATACACTTGAATTTCCATGTACTACTGAACTTAATTCCTTTTGTAATTGGAATAACTTTGCTCTATTTGCCTGGCCAAATCTGTCTTCCAGATCACTCCATAGATCATTTGCACTCTGTGAAAAGAGAACACTCTCAGCTATCTCTTTGGACAAGGAGTTGAGTAGCCATGAGAGTACTATATTATTACATCTTTCCCAGGCTTGCTGGATTGCAGAATCAGTTTTTGGAGAGATAAGAGAACCATCAATAAATCCCAGTTTATTCTTTGCAGACAAGGCAATGATAACTGCCCTTCTCCAACCTCCATATCCTTTTCCATCAAAATATGAGGATACAAGGTTCATCCCTGGAGAGTCAGAAGGGTGAAGGTAGTAAGGGTGAGTAGAGTCAATCACTCCTGAAACAGTGGTAACTCCAGGTGCAGAAACATTGGTGGTGGGAGTACCATAAGCTAGAGTTTCAGCTGATTGTGGTGAAGAACTCATAGAAAACAAGCTTAAGACAATTGTGATTGAGAAGCTTAAGAGAAGAAGAAGAAGAAGAAGAAGAGTGAAAGTTGGTTTGTGACTGAGAAAGCAGAAATGATAGCAGAATCAAACCTGCTCTGATACCATGTAAGAATGAGAAGAATAAATTGAAGATTCTCTTCCTTGTATTTTTAGTATCTCACTTTTACAGTACATGCCTTGGATTATATACAAGTATGAATGAATATAGGGCTACATTCTACATTGTCAAGTGGCAATGTCCTATTAGTTAGTACAAAATTGTACCTAAAATAAATACAAGGATGGAGCAAATAATTAAATTACATGTATAAAGTTGTACATGGATGGAGCAAATAATTAAAATACACATTCACATATGCTATGCACTATGTGAATAACATATCTGGAAAAGGGCAGGCCCAGAAGTGGGATGTGGGCAATTAGGCCCAATGCAAAATGCACTGAGGACCCAAGTTAGGCCCAAACTATGACTGGCCCATATTTGTTAAGTATACAGATCTGATTAACAGATCTGTACATCATCGGCTCCAACAAAAGTATGCAAATTCATTACGAAAAAGGTACAAAATCTAGGCATTAAGAAAGACTGAACCTGGACTAAGAATCAGACCTTTAAGTAATGATAAAAGATAAACAAATTCAGAAATTAAAAAAGAAACTGAAACTGAACAAAAAATCATACCTTTAACTGATCAAGGGATTTTATTGGATTATAGTGATGTTGAACTGGAAAGAAGCTAAAGGCTTCAATCAATAATGCTGAAAACTTTGTGTAATCAAAGCTGCCAACCCTATCTATAAGACTAGCCCATAGATTTTCATTGCTGTATTTTCTTGCCTTGAAAGAAGCGAGGCAGTTTTACCTCATATATCAAACTATTACACCATATTTATTATAAACCAAAAGAATTTCAAAATATTATGACTTATAGTTACCTTTTCTATTTTATAGCAAAATATGTATTTATTATATATCCTACCATTAAGGCGTGAAATACGCCAATTATATTCTTTCTCTCTCTATCAGTAAGATTCTCAATCCTCTCTCTTCTCCCTCAATTCTCAAAATATGTAGCAGCCATTTTGTGTAATGACCCGACCGGTTGTTTTGAGCATTTATGCTCCTTTCAACCATTTGAAGTCTTGAATAACTTCCTACGAGGTATTATGACTTGTGTAAATTGTCGGTTTTGATTTTAAGGTATTTCGGAGTTAGCTTGAAAGAATGAATTTCATGTTGGAAGCTTAAGTAGAAATAGTTGATTGGATATTGACTTATATGTATACGACCCCTGAATAGAGTTTTGATAATTCCAATAGATCCGTATGGTAATTTTAGACTTAGGAGTGTGTCCAAAAAATTATTTGGAGGTCGGTAGAGGAATTAGGCTTGAAATGGCGAAAGTTGAATTTTTGGAAAGTTTGACCGGGAAGTTGACTTTTTGATATCGGAGTCGGAATTCAGTTCTGAAAATTTTCATAGATTTGTTATGTCATTTATGACTTGTGTGAAAAATTTAAGGTCAATAGGAATTTATTTGATATGTTTCGGCGTAAAATATAGAAGTTGGAAGATTTGAAAACTCATAATTCGATTCGATGCGCGATTTGTAATTTCGACGTTGTTTGGCATAGTTTGAAGCCTCAACTAAGTTTGTATTCTATTTTGGGACATATTGGGATATTTGGTTAAGGTCCCGAGGGCCTCGGGTGGATTTCGGAAGGTTAACAGACTGAATTTCGGCAAAAAGGAATTGCTGGAATTTTTCTGTTGCAGAAGCTGTTTTTGGACAGCAAGTGGTGCAATCGGAGAGCTGATTTTGGAAGCTTATATCTCGAAATCTATAAGGAATCTGAAAAGTTTCAAAACATAAAAGTTGTAGCTCTTTGATTCTAATTTCCATAAAATTCAACCATTCATCATTTAGACATTTTTATAGAAAGTTATGGTCGACTGAAGAAGGCTGGTAAAGTAATTTCGCCAGAAATTTATGATGCATGGAGCTGATTTTGGAAACTTATATCTCGCAATTTATAAGGAGTTAAGAGATGAACAAAACATGAAAGTTATAGACCTTTGTATCTAGTTTATAGAAATTTAAACTGTTTGGCAGTTGGAGTTGAGTACAAGAAGTTATGGTTGATACACTACATACTGTCGAGAAGAGTTTTGGAAGAGTTTGATGTTTTCAGCATAAGTATGTAATGATCCAAAGATCCATTTTTAGTTCTAGAGATCGAAATTTGATTTCGAGACTTCCGGGATTTTGATAATGAATTATAGGCGTGATCCGGAAAGTTTGGTCTAATTTCATCAAGTCGCGGTTGGGTTTTTAGCGCGAAATATGAGTTAATTATTTAACGAGCGAAATTGGTATCATATTGAGCAAATGAGTTCCAAATTAAGTTTCGATTGAATGAGTAGGTTCGTATTATTATTTGGGACTCATAGGAATAAGAATCGTCGAATTCTGAGTTCGTATGATAGAGTTAGAGCCTTTTTAGTGAAAACAAAACTACTAGTGTAAACAGTTCTAATGCGCACCTTTAGCTACCAGATTTGACAATTTTAGCGACGGGATATGACTTTTAGCGACCAGAATAGTGTTTTTTGGGCAGAAACTTAAGGACCAAAAATGGTCATTTCCTTCATTTCGTTTTAGATTTTTTGAGCACGGTTCTTAGGCGATTTTGAGGATTTCTTCAAGACTTCAACTTGGGTAAGTGTCCTATATCCAAAAGTGATTATATTTCATAAATCCATGGATATATTCATCATTTAATTCGGATTTAAATGGAAGAAATTAGGATTTTTGCAAAATCTTTAAAAAATGGAAATTTTAGATTTGGAGGCCGAGTTGTTATCGTAATTTGATAAAATTGGTATGGGTGGACTCGTAATTGAATGGGTTGTCGAATTTTGTAAATTTTGTCAGATTCTGAGGCGTGGGCTCCACAGGCGATTTTTAAGCTAAATTTTGGATTTTGTTGGAAAATTAGTATTTTCTTATGGCATTAATTCCAATAAATTTTATTGACTGAATCGAATTATTTGTGGCTAGATTCGAGGCGTTTGGAGGCCAATTCACGTGGAAAAGACATTGCAGAATAAAGAATTACACGACTTGAGGTAAGTAATAGTTCTAAATTTGGTCTTCAGGGTATGAAACCCCGGAATATGTATTATGTGATTGGTTTTGAGGTGATGCACATGCTAGGTGACGGGCGTGTGGGCGTGCACCGTAGGATTTATGACTTGGTCAATTCCATGGAATTGTGTTGTTGAAAACTTTGTTGCTATCCGTACATTTTTTCCCGTATTAGAGAAATTGATCTATGAATCATGTTTAAATCATATGTTTACACTGTTGGGACCCACATAGGTCGGGTACTTGTGAAATTATTTGCTAAATTGTTGTTTTGCACTCGGTCATAGTTCTATTTGCACATTTTTACCTCAGTCTGTCTTATTCATTATTGATGATCATATCATTGTTGTTGGGGCTGCTTATCATGATTTCTGAGAGCCCAAGAGACTGGAGAGGTTGATGACTGAGTGAGACCGAGGGCCTAATTGTGAGGACATTTATGGATTAGCCTGCACGCCGCAGCAGGCCATATTGGTTTTATATACTTTATTATTATGGGATTGGGCTACACGCCGCAGCAGGCCAGATTGGCTTATTATAGCACGTGAGTTGTCCGTGGGTATACAAATATTGATACTATAGCACGTGAGTTATCTGTGCAGCATGTGAGTTGTCCGTACAGATTATAGCGCTTGGATTGAAGGAGCCCCTCTAGAGTCTGTACACACCCCCAGTGAGCGCAGGTACCTACTGAGTGCGAGTGCCGAGTGATGAACGACTGTGAGGAATGAGCGACTGTGAGGAAAAAGTGACTGTGAGGTTGGAGTGAATGGGAGGGCTGAGTGACTGTTACTCTGAGAGGATGCATTGATTTCATTATTTGCTGCATTTCAGCTATCATATATCACTATTTTTGGAAATTTTGGAAAAACATTATTTTCTGTTTCAGTCAGACTTGATATGAAATTTCAGTGAAATCTTAAATGTTGAACTTGAGAGCATGCCTACTCTTTTATATTGGAAAGTATTGTGTTTGGACTTAGCTGAGAAACTCGTCACTACTTTCAGTTCTTTATTTAATATTGTTACTTACTGAGTTGGTTGTACTCGTACTACACCCTGCAATTTATGTATAGATCCAGGTGATCCCGGACACCGCGGGTGTTGATTCTTTCGCACAATTGATTTTTCGGAGATTTCGAGGTAGCTGTCGTGTTTCGCAGACCTTGTCTCTCCTTCCCTATCTCTTTGTTTACTGTATTTGGTCTAAGAGTATTATAGATTGTGTTTTCCAGACTTGTGATGTATAGATGTTTATGTACTCAGTGCCACCAGATTTTGGGAGTGCTTGTATCGGTAATAGCGAGATTATCGGATTATGTTTAAATATTATATTTTCAAACTTAAAAGAAATTGTGGTTTATCGAGGTTGTCGGCTTTCCTAGTATCGAGATATGTGCCATCACTACAGGTTGGGAATTTGGATCATGACAAGTTGGAATCAGAGTCTAGGTTACATAGGTCTCACGAGCAGGTTTAGTAGAGTCTTGTGGATTGGTACGGAGACGTCTGTACTTATCTTTGAGAGGTTGTCGAACCCTTAGAAAAATTTCACTTTCTTGTATTCTATCATGCGAAATTGATTCAGCTTGAAACATAACTCTTTGAATTCCTTCCACGCATTCGTGTGCGCATGTGAGCGCTCAATATCAGTTGTGCATCGCTGTCTTGTGATTCCATGAACGAGATTCGAGATGTGTATTTTTTGTTTTGGTGATGGGCCAGTCTGGAGGACTTGAGGCCAGGTTAGACCGCAACTTACGCTCGGTAGCTTCAATTGTAACGTGTACATTTTGACTCATATGTCCGGTAATGTCCCTACGAGTG